GTGGTTGTGTTGGAAAATCAGCAGCCTCAGTTGATACAAACATGAAGCCGTTCGATCGCGCCGCCAAAATACTTGGAGGCTTTTTTGCTCTCAGAGATAGATTCGTTCCTCTTCGATCTCCTTTTCCGGAGAGTTTTTCTTCTGAAGCTTCCATAAAGCTGTTCATCGCACGGAACCGAGCTTCGACACATTCGAAATGGCTCCCCTCCGGTTGGCGTAGGATGGCACTTCTCAATATCGGAATACTTACGTTCACGATGCTCTTCCTCTTAAGTATTCTTCTGATCTCGATCGCAAAAACCGACAGTTTCATGCAATCTTGGCGATTCTTCACAGCGGGCTGTGGAAGGACGACCGTCACCAATACAATGCTGCACTTGCTGATCAACATTTTCTCGAGTGTTATGCTTGCATCCTCAAACTTCTTCATGCAAGTTCTAAACGCACCAACTAGATCGGAGGTCGATGCTGCTCACGCTCAGGGTAGATGGGTCGATATTGGCGTGCCGTCTTGGCGAAATGCTTTCATTCTTTCACGCTTCAAACGGCTCGCGTGCCTGAGCTTACTGTTGACTTCGGTTCCTATTCATATGATCTTTAACAGTTCTTTGTTCAAGATCGACAAACGTATGGGAGATTTCCATGCAACTATCGCGACCGAGGCCTTCGCCGATGGTGGCTCTTACTTTCTCCCGGGCGTAAGCATGATCACCAGCGAACTCTATCGCGAAGGCAACAACAACGATACTGGCTGGAAACGTACATTCGAGGATGATTTTGGCGACACCTCTCTCCTGCCAAGTTTTCAAGATCTCGCCACCAACAATTTTTCAAAGCAAACAGCCAATATGTCGGAAGCGGCCACTCAAGTTTCGAACTGGGATAAGCTCGGATTGACAGACTGCCAAGGACTCTTTGGTCAATCGACATGTACCGGGTTGAACAACTATCGCAACCTTGTCATAGTTCTGAAGGGTTCTGGGTGGAAAAGATCCGAACTCTGGAATCTTTCGGCCAGTGGCGGGGAAGTGTGGCAACCCATAGTGCCTCGAGACGAGTCGAACAACCTATGGTTCAGTTCGCAATGCAACATGAGAGGTACCCTGTCGCAAAACGGTTATGCCAGCTGCAGCACCAACTGTGACATATTTTTCCAGTGGAGCAAACCGGAGGGTGACAGTCGAACATTTCTCAAACTTTCGGCTTGGTTCCCAGCGCACCATAACGAATCGAATTGGAACGAAACACTGTACTCTTCCGTTAAGAACGACTTCATGCTGGGTTTCAATTCGGGTGACTTCGAGCTGGATCACTGCCGAGCGGAGCCGAGAGACAACATGTGCAGCATTGCCCTCGCCAAGCCACTGCTTCTCGTTGTTGTTGTCTCGATTCTCGTTAAAATATCCACCTGTATCGTTGTAATGTTGGTTCTCGGCAACGAGGAACCGCTCGTCACCCTGGGCGATGCTGTGGCATCGTTCATCTCCATTGAACCCCGGCCGAAATTCGTGTCAGGTCTAATGACTCACAATATCGTCCAGGACAGAGAAAGAGACGGCACCATCTATGAGCCATTGGGACCTCGCAAATGGTTCAGAAGACAGCATCATAGGTCCCCAACTGTTTCCACAGGAGCTTGGGTCAAAGCCTATTGCCTATTCATTCCGGGGTTTATTGTGTTACTTTTCATCGTTGTGGGACAGTTTAATATAGATATATCGTGAGTATTAACGCTGGTTGACCAGTCCCCTAAGGATACCTTAACGACGAAAATAATTGCTTACCTTATCTAGAAAGTGGAATAACACGGAGAATGCTAAAGTTATGGCCCCTATAGGTCGTGGATCTATCCATTTCCTCACTATTATAGTGGCCAACATCCCGCAACTGTATCTTTCCTCTTGCTACTATGCGATCAAGTCATTGATCACCCAAATGGAGATGGGGTGGGAGTGGAGTCAGTTCTCAATCAAGTATTCTCCGCTGCGAGTCACGAAACCCAAGTAAGTCTGCAAAATGAACCCTATAGATACCTTAAGTGTCTAACCTTCTAAAGAGGCCAGCAAACGTCCACATTCCGTCTTCAACTGCCATACAAACTCAGCATTCCTTTGATAGTCTGCAGTGTCTTGGTGCATTGGTTGCTTTCAAATGCGCTCTTCACAGTAGTGTCACAGGGGAGTAAGCAACCCCCCAGCGAAGTTAGTTGTACAAATTTGGTCTAACGTGTCAATGATAGCATATTATGTTCTAGGCCCTTCAGACTACACAACCGATCCTGAAAGTCTTCCGGATGACGCTGCAATAACCCTCGGTAGCTCGAGAGCGCACACACTGGCGTTGTTCCTCATCAGTATAACGATGATGATCTGTCCAACGATTCTTTCGAGACAGAAGCTGCCAGGGCAGATGCCAGTCGTTGGCTCTAATTCGATGGCGATTGCAGCTGCCTGTCGAGTCTCCCCGCTATCTCAAGTTCCCACGCACTCAAACGAAGAGAATACCACACAAGATACTGAGCTTAAAGAGCTTGTCTCAACCACAGGCGAGGGTGTCGAAGGTGTAAAGGGGGCAGGCACGCCGAAAACAATGATATACTTCCCGCTCAAGTGGGGCGAGGTCGAGATGCCCAAAAACTGGCACGACCAGCCGGAAGGGTGCCGGGAAACGGAGGGAGTAGGCCATCTCAGTTTTGGCACTGTCCTGGACAACCCCCGTCCTCCGAAGGAAGGTCGCCTTTATGTGTGATAAGTATAAAGGAGAGGTCAATCTAGGCCCTGGCCTTTTCTCGCGTCGCCCTTCTTTACAGATCAGATCGGCCAATGCTGACTCCTTCATCTTGCGTGGATGTTCCTAGATAAGTATCTGAACACAATGTACAAAATCTTGTGGAAAGAGGCCTCTAGGCTTCTGCGCTTTTGCGCCATATGGGAAATTTCCAGGTCGAAATCGGACTTGGTCAGGCCGGACGGGGTGATATTGGTGTTGCTACTACTATAACTCCACATCGCATCTTCACCGTAAGGCCACTGAACAGAACGCCAGAGGAGCTAGGCAGCTATAGGAGTAGATGCTGTATGCGACAGACTGTTTGCGTTTGGTTCTTGTGACATATCGAAGTCAAGATCACAGCTGATGAGGCGTGACTGGAGATGGAATCAGAATCAGCCTGAAGCATCGAGAGTTTCCGGTATACCAGCTAAGAACACAAGAGGAATCGATCGTATATGTTCTCGTCAATGTTATGTCCGGGACTACCGGGCTTTGTCTTGAGTAGGCCCAGTCGTGTGGGATGAAAGTCCGCTAGCTGCAGAATAATCCATCAGCTTGCATGTGTGAAAGGCGGGACTTCAGTCGGTAATCCTGCCCTGTACTCATGCCTGTGCGGAAGAACTTGTGCAGCCCGGTGAGAGGCGGGTTGTGTGACGGTGTGATGGTGAACAAGACCCAGCACCGAAGTGTCAGATTCTAGCGCCGTCGGACTGGACAGTAGCCGTGATCCTTATTGACTAGTCTGCGATCTGGTTTGTCAGTATCAATGAGGAAGAAATGGACATGCTGCATCGGGGAATGTCGTTGATAAATTGTCCTACAATGACTTGACCTCACGTCATCACCGGACATACGAGTAGCCAGGTTCGCAAGGACTTAAGACACCCCTTGGTGAATGACCTACTTGCCGATGGACTTCAACTACAGCCCTAGAGATCTCGACTAGGCATGGTAAAGTTGCTATAGGGCTCACGGTTGATGTGCTTGGAAGATCTGGTGAAAACAAGCAGAGAAATCAGACCGCATCTTCGGAAGCATCGAATATGACAAATAGTCTACGTGAACATGCCAAGCTGCAATACCCCAACAACGGCCGCCGAGCCCGATAGGCGCCGAACACGCCTGCTGTGCCATGATCCTAGAAATTGGCGACGAAGAATATAGAAGAAACAGTTTCCATGTACCACCACGTGGCCGTAGACGTGGGACCCCGGAATGTCACTGATCCGCGAGGCGTTGACGATCATGAATGGAGGTTGGCCGGGTCGCGGGCCAGGGCCTGGCGATCCTCCCATGCGGATGGAATTATTCTCGACCGGACAATGCCAAGCTTTTTTGTTTCGTTTGTCAAAGAGGATGAAAGTTGGGACGAACAAACGGCTGCTCTCCCGTCGCTTGTTTTATTTTTAGGCGGCAATGGAAAAAACAAGCGCGCTGAAGGTGGTGTGCCGTGGGCTTGCATTGGCCCTGCAGAGGCCCAACACAGCCTCTGGATGCCCGGATTGACGCTCTCCGGGCGACCAAAGAGCCAATCAGAAAACGGGCGCACCCCAGCCCACCTTCTGTTCTAAGAAAGTTTACTCCTCCTCCCCCAAGCCCTCCATACGCAAAGTGGTCAAGGCCCGTAGTCTCGGGACTTCATCCGTCGACTGACCAATCCGCGCAGAGACAGCCTGGCCGGCCCTATGGTTTTCTGCAGGATTTCGACTTTTGTAAAGAGCAAGACCAATGACTCCAGCCTAGCGCTGACGGGTAGACCGGCTCCAGCAAGGCTTCCATCTCGTCGGAGTACACCACTCCCGGGAGGAACTGGGTAGCTACGCCGCGTGCCAAAGACGCGTGCCATGTTGGCACATTCCCACGTCTTGCTCACTGCCCGCTGTATGGTGAGATGGCGGTCGGGTGCGTTCGTTGCCGTTGCTAACTCCGTCCCCCAGCCATGCTTGGGAGGCCGGGACCTTGTTGACGATGGATGATTTGGGTCCAAAATAGAGTACATCCACTAAGAATACATGGCAGCCTGTTCCTGAATCCGCATTCAAGCAGGCGAGCATCACAGTATATAACAAAGTGTCATCTCCCGTGTTCATGATACCTTCTCTTACATCTCATCTCGCATCCACATCTTCACAGTTTCCTACCTGCTCGAGTTCCTTGTTTCCTAGAGTCTGTCATCTCAGCTTTACACCAACCTAATACCAAGTCATCCAACATACACAGTAATCAAGATGCTCTTCACTCAGACCGCCGCCGCCGCCTTCCTGGCTTTCGCCTCTTCCGCTCTTGCCGGACCTATCAGCACTCGCGATACTACTCCGGCTTTGAGCTTGACGCAACAGCTATTCCTCGCTGATACGTGAGTTTACAATAAAAACAACATCAGGCTTGAGTATAAAACTAATGAGAACAGCGCTGCCGACCGCTTTAAGCTCCTCCCTGATGACAAGCAGTTCGTCTTCGACTTCAACCAGAAGCAAGCCAACCCCGGAAAGGGTGGTGAGCTCGTCGCTGCCAACCGCAAGACATTCCCCGCCCTCGTCAGCACCGGAGCCGGCATGGTAAGTTCCCATGACACCCCCAGATTACCAAACAACAAAGCTAACGACCCCAAAAGGCCGTCGGACGAGTCAAGCCCTGCGGCATGAACACCCTCCACGTCCACCCCCGATCCGTCGAGCTCCAGATCGTCACCGAGGGCCGTCTCATCACAGAGATGGCGCCCGAGAACGGCGTCCTCGCGGCCGACGGCAAGACCCGCCGCATCATCCGCACCGAGCTCAGCCCCTACATGATGACCCCCTTCTACCAGGGCTCCGTCCACAGCCAGTTCAACCCGGACTGCACCGACGCCATCTTCGTCGCCAGCTTCACCTCGGAGGACTTTGGCACCGGCCAGATCGCCGACGAGACCTTTGCCTTTAGCGACGATCTCATCGCTGCTACGTTCGGCCAGAGCATCGACGGCGAGGATATCGAGATGGTCCGCGCTGCCATTCCTGCCAGCATCGCCCTTGGTGTCGATGCGTGCTTGAAGAAGTGCAACATCAAGAAGCGTGAGATTTAAGGGGGTGACGTGGGACGTGGGATGTATATAACTTGCTACAAACGGGATTGGGATTGTGAGGGCATAGCGAGGGGCATGCATGGCATACTTCATGATGGCATTGGGCGGGAGCGCATCTGATTTGGCTTGGGTCGTGAGCATTGGGCAGGCGTTCTTGGCATTGGGTCATCTTTACTGGTTTTGTTCTTTGTTTGAATACTTTGAAAAATCACATGCATGACGTTTGGAAATCTTTAAGAAACATACCATCTCTTTTGTGAATACTGCCACAGCTGTGGCTTCTGTGATTGCTGTTGCCGCCTCTAACACTGCGGCCTCTGTCCTTGTTCCCAACACCCTTTCCAGCCTTGTGTTACTTATAGAGACTGCCTAATTTTCCTGTGCTGGGGCGACTACTTTTCCTCCGGGTTCATATGTACTATATAGAGCAAGTATTGATGTCGTCGTCGTCGTCGTCGTCGTCGTCGTTATCGTCATCGTCCGTTATTATCGTCCGTCGCTATTGTTAATTCTATCCGCTTTACTCCTACCATCCTCAGTCGGAGGAACCCAAAACACAGGATATACAGTTTCTTCAGCACAGGGAAAATAGACGGTCTCTACTTATGACCTAAAGCTTACTTGACTTACAAAGTTGGAGCCCCGGTAACAAAAGGCAACAGGCAAATTCATTGCTGTGTACTGTGCATGAATCAAAGTCTGAGCACCAGTGCTTTCGCTTTGATATTGCATAATGAAAACTGCGTTCTTCTCGAAAAAGCTAATGCCTCTCAGATAAGGCCAGGAGGAGAAGAGGGACCAAAAGTCTCCATAGCTTCGTGGTTCCCGTCATGTAAGTCAGACGCATTCCTCGGCTGGTCCAGAATGGGTCTCCGCGTGCCACCAGATGAACGAGAAGCAACGTGATCTAACAACAAGACGCTCTCATTGGGTCATAGGTGATAATGTCGATGGAGCAGAAGCAAACATCGCGGCCCCCGGATCTCAAACCTAGTTGCTATTACACAACTTGTCCCCAGAAGAATAGTCGATGAATAGAGATGAAGCCTCAAGAAAAGAAATCGCACATGCTCAACACGAGATTAGCAACTCAAGACACAGAAAGCTTGTGTTCAACCAGGCTCCACACGTCCAATCTCTTCGGTAGCGTTCCTGCCTTCTGCCAGAGATGCCGTCCCAACAATTCTCTAGTATGTATCCCTTGAATGGTCGGCTTCTCCACGCGCAAATGGATGCAAGTGTGTTTTGCCCGGTCTCTCCAGGTTTCCCTCGAGGGAAACAGCACTAACCTGACTTGGTCATCACAGTGTTTCTGCTTACCTCTCGAATCTGATAGAATGACACAAGCCACCAAGGCCATGGAAGGCCGGTACTGAACGTGTATGCATGGGTGGACGCTCATCGTGAATGGGATGTAGCGAAGCCACAATGACGCATGCCAAGGTCGTTCCAGCGGCAGGAAATGAATGTGTGGCCTAGCGGCGTCTGTTGCTAGCAGTATTCACTTGGTCTTCTGCGCCAATATCGTGGACAGGGACGGCAGCCCGATGCTCAACAGTCTCCTCGCAACGTTTCCTAGATTTTGTCACAATTACCGTGAAGATGCTTTCATGAATCCACAGTACATGGCAGCTTGGAGAAGTTCACCTAGATGCAGACCTTGATCGAAGGCCTCAGGTGCCAGATGAGCCTCCTTCCATCCAGCGGACCCTTAGCGAAGCTGAAGTTATCCATTATCTACACGGAGCCGAAACTACAGCATCTAGGTGACAAGCGTTGTTGGCCGTACGATGACCGCAAGCTCAGAGATATTCTCTACGTCACAAAGTATGTCAAATCAAGACTGATCAGTTGGTGCTTGGCGCGGGGACGCGATGCCCCAGTCTCATTTAAGAGAGCGAGGATTAAGGCGGGCATGGCGTGACCTAGCCTGTTCGCGGCCCTTCGGAAGACCTAGCGCCTCAAGGGTTGTCATCAGAAACTGCAAATGATCATCCATCAGTAATTGCGCTGTCAGCCTTGTCCGGGCTATTGGAAAATCCTTCCAGTCGAACAGAAGACCGTTGAGGACGTCGACTCTGGAACGCCAACCATTGGCATGTCGCAATCTGGAGACTGGGACAGCTACACAGACGATGCCCACGATTTGAGTACAGTCTACCGGGGGAATAATTCCCCTGTAAGTACCTTCTTAGGAGTTTTGTATACAAATAATCGATCTTTCTAAACCCTGTACTTCCCTCAAATTTCAACGTTTTTCGAAACGTAAAAAAACACAAAAATAGAGATATACTAATTCTCTATAGAAAGAAATTTAAAACGTATTTATAGCGTTAAATTTCATTTTTCTAAGTAAAAAAAACGCCCTTCGAAGTCACCTACAGGGATACGCCAGGATTGTTTCAGTACCGACAGGCCAAATATTTCCCTGGAGGACTGTATGCGAGCACGGGAGATTCTAATCGCGGGCGCGTCTACAGGGTCTGGCGTGGAGGTTTGGCTAGGCCGACTCGGGCACAGCTCGCTGGAGCGCAATTTCCTGCTCTGGCGATGGTGGCATCTGGCACCCCGGATCTCTCGCACGGCCAGCAAAGATGATAGATCGCATCCGCTTGCTGGCTGACAGTTGCTCCGGCGTTGGCTCGTTCACCTTGCCCGAGTCAACGAGACCGGGGCTGGAGAATCGTCGGAGAGAAAGAAAGCTCGGTCGCTTTCCTGGGCAAACGGCACGTGGGTTCTCACCAGTTGAGGGTCCTGGGACATGAGGCTCATGCAACATGTCCACTTGCCAGGATGGTCGGAACGCCCTTGCGAAGATGTGCAGTTGTGCTCGACAAGGCTCTCGCGAAGGGAAGCAAGCCCGAGGATTTTGAGGGGGAACCCGGATAGTTAAGGAGGCAAGCCGCAGGCGAAGTTGAAAAGGGTAAGAGCGTTTCGGTCTGTGGTTCAAGCCTGGAGGCGAGCGGTGCAGGGCCGACTCGACGTTGGAGTAAGGAAGTTAGGCGTTGGCTTTGGCTGTTGGGGGCTTGAATCTTGATAGGAGAATCGGTCCACGGAAGGGGAGGAGGCGTCGTTTGGGCCTCGGCATGGTGGGGCCTGTTCCAGATATCGTGAGCTGCGCTTCCAGAAGGAGAAGGCAAGACCGCTGGATCATGGCGTCGGTGTTGAAGAAGGCGTTGCTCCGCATTCCGCACTTTTGCATTCCAGCACGGCGAGAAATTCGGTCCAGGAGAAGAGTGCGAGATTCATGCAACCCTGCGAGGGAGGCGACCCATTCGTCGCACTATCGTGTGTTTTGGTGGTCAATTCAGGAGGTCGCAGCGACAACGGGACGGAGTGTGGGAGTCTGTAGTCTGGGTCGCGGTGCTCAGGGGAGAGAAAATTTCGTCGAAAAGCGGCAAAGCTGAGCCTGTCGGCCGAGTCGACTGCGAGATTGTTTGCTCAAGTCGCACGTGGAATTAAGCTTGATGGATAAGATTGGATGACAGGTTCGCGTGTGACATTGCGACCGGCGCTTCTCATCAACTCTTTGAATGGGCGACTGCCAATTTGTCACTCGTCTGCACGCTTTCTCTCTCGATCGAGGACGGCGCGGAGAGGCTCATCTGGAGGATTGCCCAATGTGGAAACGTCCCCTCGCCGGTCGACCAGCCGGCGCCTCCTGCCCCCTGGTCGTGTGTGTGCGCCTGCTGTCGGGTCTGGAGTTGTCAGTGTCGCGCTGGTCAAACTCAATGGGCGCCGCGGTCAGCCATTTTCCAACGGCAAGGGCAACCGCGACACCAGTGGGAGGTGCTTGGCCAATGAGAAGCGGTACCTGCGTCAATTTATGCATGACCTCACAGGTAATGTGTGGAAATGCAGCACTTATGCAGGAACTGGGCAACGGTGGAGGTCAACACTAAGAACCGACCAACCGTCAGCCTCCCCGTTGGGCTGGGCCTGTGCTTCTCATTTCGTTTGGCCCCAGGCGTCTTATTCGCGCGCTGCCTCCCATTGGCTCCTGCGCTGAACAAGTCAAGCTTTGCCGAGATGACGGCCGAGTCTGATTGGCGAGTGCACCCAAACTTCAGCACCCCCGTCGTTTTCATTTCCCCCCGGGCCTCGCATCCTTGAACATCGCAAGGCCCAGTCCGCTCCAGTCCGTCCATCGTCGGCCAAGCCAGTGCAAGCCTCTGCCTCACCCCGGCCGACACCACCGCCCAATGTCGCCATGACCAGCCGGAATCCTTGGGCGCGCCCCTCAATGCCCTGGTCAAACCAGTGGCTCTCTCGCAGCCCTCTCTCCTCTTGCGGCCAACAGGGGGCAGATCGCGCAAGGATCTTTGGACTGGCTTTTCGCAAATGCCTGTCAACGGCCTGCTGCAACGCACCAATCGCCCTGGGCACACTCGAGCACGATTCCCGCCCCAGATGATTGTTGCTCGTTCATTTCATCGTCGGCCCATCCTGCCACCTCCACCCTCGCGAGTTCTCCTCTTCCCTTCTCTTGTCCTTGCACCGCATCCTTACGCCTTGCCCAGTCTCCGTTTTGAGACGTTCCGCTCTTTTCACCGACATTCGCTTGAACCTTTTCGCTTTCTTCCGACTCACGCTCGTTACCGAATCAACACGCGCGCGCCGCCGCTGCTCACTACGCCTTGCCTCCATGTTATAGCATTGAGTCCGGACAACTACTCAAGAGACCGCTGCTATTCACAACTTCACGCGACGCACGCCCTGCTGGACCGAGACTTGGCTCTTTGAATTGTTGGAGGACTTCACGACAACTCGCGACGAGACCCCGCTTCCGAGATGAAGCTCACTACGATTCAGGCCGCCGTTGGCTCGGCCATTGTGTTGCTGTCCGCTCAGCCGGCCATCGCCCACGACTCTTCCCATCGCCATCTTCACAAGGCGCGGCCCGCCGTTAGCCCTGCTGAAAACGTCGAGCAGCTTGTTGAGAGGGAAGTCATCAAGAGGACCTCCGACGGCAAGGCCATCTGCAGCCTTCCCAGCGACTCTAGCTTGGTCAAGGTTCCCGGCGCTCAGAACAATGGCTTTGCCATGAGTCCCGACCAAGTCTGCACCGAAGGATCCTACTGCCCTATCGCTTGCAAGCCTGGCATGGTCATGGCACAATGGGACCCGAAGTCGTCCTACACTTACCCTTCCTCCATGGTGAGACTGTCTCGGGTATTCTTACTAAGTTCCAGTCGCTGACCAACACAGAACGGCGGTCTTTACTGCGGTTCCGATGGAAAGGCCACCAAGCCGATCAAGGACGCTCCTTACTGCGTTGAAGGCGCCGGCAGTGTTGAGGTCTACAACAAGTGCGGCAAGACCTTGTCCTTCTGCCAGACCGTCCTGCCTGGTAACGAGGCCATGCTTATCCCCAGCGTCATTGACAAGTCTATCACTCTGGCTGTTCCCGACCCCAGCTACTGGTGCAGTACCGCTGCTCAGTAAGTGACCTTTGATTGTCGCGAAAAGAGTCTCTTTACTAACTGTAATAGCTACTACATCAACCCTCCCGGTGTCACCGATGAGGGCTGCATTTGGGGTGATGAGTCCAAGGCAGTTGGTAACTGGGCTGCTTACGTTGCCGGTGCCAACATGGACAGCCAGGGCCGTACTTTCGTTACTCTCGGCTACAACCCCATCTGGGAGGGCTCCTCGTTGAAGAACACGAAGCCTACCTACGGCGTCAAGATTGAGTGCCCCGATGGTGGCTGCAACGGCGTTCCTTGCGCCATTGATCCCTCTTCCAACGCCATTGGCACGGTTACCAGCAACCAGGTCGGCACCGGCGCTGGCAATGCCAACTACTGCGTTGCCACCGTTCCCAAGGGCCAGAAGGCTCGCATCATTGTCTTCCCCCTTGATGGTTCTGGCGGCGATGACTCCTCCTCCGACGACAAGAAGGATGACAAGAAGGACGACAAGGTCGAGATCAAGGTCGCCAAGTCCACGCCCTCGCCGACTCCCACTCCTACCCCCACTCCTACTCCGACCCCGACCCCGACACCGACGCCGTCTTCTTCTGCTGCCCCGACTTCGAGCAGCTCTAGCGCCAAGGAGTCCAGCTCTGCGTCGTCTGCCTCGGCAACCCCGACTCCCACTGTTATCCCTGGTATGTTCCACGAGAACGACACGGACACGACCACTACGTCTTCCAAAGACACCAAGATGACCACCCTTGAGCCCACCGCCGCTTCCACGACTGAAGAGGCGGCCCCCGCGACCACCTCCAAGGAGAACGAAGGCGTCAGACAAGGTGGTGGGGCCATCGCCGGCCTCATCATTGCGTTCGTCGCAGCCACTTTCCTGTACTGATTGTCACTTGACCTCGGTGGCATCTATTCGCTTCGCGCCAGCCAGCAGCAGCTCGTTCTTCTCTTCAAAGTCTTTTGCTTGCCGATATGACGCAGCGCCGTCCTTATGCTGCTACTCATCGACCTCGACGTCTCGGACACAGCCCGCTCGGTCGGATATATCTTCACGCTCAAGGGCAGGCACGCTTGCCACGTACCCTTCTCGCTGCTGGCAATTCTTCGCTTCGTCCGTCGCTCACGAACACGCGGCAAATCTTTACATACACGCCGGTAGCAGATGGCGCCTTCATCTTTTGGACGTACTATATCAAATCTCCCGCGATGATTTCGCGGCAGTTTAGTGTTTATTGTTTTAGCAACATCGCGTCTATGGCGCGAGCTGGCGAAGCATTCTTCCGGGTTCAGTCACCTGGCCTCTCTTCAAACGGAGGCATTTACACTTTTGGATCGGCTTGCTTCTCATCTATACCCATTTACGTACGCATTATTTTTTGTTATTTATTATTTGAGGACATGTGGAGGAAGAGGATATGATATGGAAACATTAGTCATGACATGACGGGGTTGGGGGACCGGAAAGAAAATCTTATTCTTCAGGGGGAGACTTTTGTAAGATGACTGGCTTGGGGTCAGACGTTGAAGGTGAGACGATGTTGAGGATGGGACACGACGACGCGCGCGCGCGCGCGTGTGTGTGTGTGTGTGGAATCTACACCGCCTTGGTCCGTTTTTTCGACTCTTTCGTCGGATGGAGGATCCCGGTAGCAAGACCCTGCCTTATGATGGGCAATCAAATGAAAGATTCAGAATCAACTATTTCCGGTCTTGCTTCAAACGGTGCCGTGACTGCTCCCTGTCTCCCAGGCATGTCATATCACCATTGGCCCGTGGAAGTGGTAATATCAACTGGGTATCATTATTCTGCAGCTATCCTATGCCTTCGACACTGTTTCTGTGTCTAACCCTTGACCCAACCTGGAACGTCGTCCAGGTCAACTTCCTCCTCGTACTGTCTCTCCTTGATCGCGGTCCACGGTACCGGCCACCCCGCCAGCGTCGGGCTCTTCTTCGTGGCACCCATGACTGCAAACCGTCCCTGCGAATGCGCAATGTACCCATGCATGAAGCCCAACTGGATCAGAGTCGCAACATTCATCTCGACGTCGTCCATCTCAACGGGGCTGTTCCCCCACACCAGCCCCTCGTTCGGCCGCAGCTTCTTCGGTCCCCCGGGCGGCGGGACGAGAGTCGACGACGCGTCGTGGGAGACGGCCTTCATAAACGCCGGCGTGGCGTTGGAGGGGCGCTGGTGCTTGGAGGGAATGTAGCCTTCTAGCCTGCGCTGGAGGTACGTAGCCGTGGTGTGCAGGTCCGCGAGGTCCAGTGTTGCCGCCCGGCGGGAGGGTGCTGCCGCCGCGTTAGGGTTCGTGTCGTCGGGCCCTGGGGCGTATGTGAGGAGGAAGGTCTTGCGCGCGAGGGAGCGCCACAGGAGGGGACGGAGGCGGTGTGTGAGCACCAGCAGCAAGCCCTTGTCGAACAGCCACTTCTCGTGGATGGCGAGCGCGTTTTGGAAGAGGACGAAGTCGCCTCTGCGGATCGCCTGGGATAGGGGGTGGAAGATCGGGGCGAGGGTGGCGGACTCTGGGCGTGAGAGGAGGACCTTGGAGGGCAGGCGACCGAGGAGGAGGTTGCAGGGGATGAGGTAGCTGAGCACCAGGCAGCGGTGTGATGTCAACGCGGGCGGGATTTGGAGGTAGGCCTCTTCGAGGCAGAGAGCTGCGCGGACAAAGTGGCAGTTTGCGAGGTTGAAGCGGCCGAGGTAGTAGAGGAAGGTGACGCGCTGGGCTGCCGGATAGAGGGACAGAGGGGGCGAGTTTGTGGAGATATTTGTAAAGATTTGCTTTGCAAGGTGAGTTCTCCGGCACTGTATATCGTTAGAATCTGGTCACCGGCGATATATCGAAGCTGGGCTTACGGCAAAGAGGAGTTTGAGCACGAGGTTGGCGAACATGTACACGCCAACCTTCTTCCCCTCGGGCTTGCTGTAACGGGTACTGGAACGGTCTGTCAGGCAGGTGGTGAAGATCTTTTGGATGATCTCAGCCGAAGTCTCGGCGATGGACTTGCGGTCGTCTGCGTCGACGTTGCGGATTTTACGGGTCAGGTCGGGACGCTTGCTGAGCATCATGGTGAGGCGCGATAGGGACTCGCACAGTGACATTGCCGTTTTGAGGAGCATGCCGCCATAGGTTGGGTGGGCGAAGGCGGTGCTGCAGGAGCTGGGTGAACGTGTCAATGACTACCCTCAATGCAAGCTGGACACACACTTACTTGACCAGCCCGCTCAGCAGGGTATGTGCGCCGAGCAGATCGTCGTAGTCGACATCGCGCCAGAAGAGCATATAATCCTTCATGAACGTGATGAAGCCCGGCCACGGCGAGCCCTGGCCTTCCGGCACGTCGTCCTCTTCCGGTAGGCATTTTTCAATCGTGTCTTCGAGTCCGCTTCCCGAACGGAACTGGTTGCGCAGCTCGGCCGCGAGTTGGTGATACTGTTGATGCGCGTTCGGCTCAACCTGGAGCCAATTGCGGAGTTCGTCGCTGTTTTGGGCGCGCACAAATGTGCGAATCTGAGTAAGGAACTGTACTAGAAGCGCCATGGTGGTGCCTCCCGTGTTGAGATGCTGGAAGTGGGATGAATGGGGAGATGCTGGACGGTGAGGAAGCGAATATGAGCTTGGGGCATGCGATGAGAGCTCGTCGGTGGTCAAGGTAAGGTGTGAGGTGGGTTCTTCGATGAGCGGGAGCAGGGATGTGGCGGTCGGTGAGAGAGACTGGCGTTGCCCCGCCAGGATGGTACCGCGTCTACATCCAGAGCATCTCCACCTCATCACTTTCTATGCAGTCTTTCAAATTGTCTCACAGATCACCAATTCCTTCATGATAGGAAATATTTATGCTTTTTGATATGTGGCTTTTCATGTACAAGTGTACGCCGCCCAACATCTTGCGCCTAGATCTGTCCTTATCGCCGCGTCTGAGCGGCTCGCAACCTAAGAATCACGAACTGAGCTAAACCTGCAGCCTCCCTTTTGAAACCGAGCTGCACGTAGCCGGAGCTAGAAGACGACGTCCGATCTACATTGATTTACACAGACTCGACACGCTGCACCACCAGCGCAGTGGCTGCACCTCCTCCGTTGCAGATGGCAGCCACACCGTATTCGCCGGGCTTCAGCTGGTGCAGCAGTGTTACGAGAATTCTCGACCCGGAGCTTCCGAGAGCGTGGCCGAGAGAAATGGCTCCTCCAAGGGGATTCACGCGCGCTCCCTCAAGGCCGAGGATCTAATCGATAGTCAGCGGAAATCAAGTGGCTTGCAAGTCAATAAGCTTACCTTCTCATTGGCCTTGATGACAGCGGCGAAGGCCTCGTTAAATTCCCAGACAGCCACCTGGTCCTTGGTAATTCCGGCTCTCTCCAGCGCAATCGGAACGGCCTTGGCCGGGGCAATTGGAAAATCAACGGGGTCGACAGCGGCATCGGCCGAACCGCAAATCTTGGCCAGAACCCGGGAGCCTGATCCGTACTTTTGAGCAATTTCTTTGCTTCCCAGAACCAGCGCGCTGGCACCGTCGTTCAGAGTGGACGAGTTGGCGGCAGTGACGGTTCCTGTGCCGTCACGCACGAAGGCGGGCTTCAGAGTGGGGACCCTGTCGAACTTGACATCGAGGTATCCCTCGTCCGTCTCGATGACGGTATCGCCCTTCTTTCCGGGAACGGTGACGGGCGCAATCTCTTCGGCGAAGGCATTCGCCTTCCACGCGGCTTGAGCGCGCTTGTAGGACTCAATAGCATACTGGTCCTGAATTTCACGGGTGATCTCGTACTTCTTGGCGGTGTTCTCAGCGCAGTTGCCCATGTGGAATTGGTCGTAGACGTCGGTAAGACCATCCTTGATCAAACCGTCCTCCATCTTGACGTGCCCGAAAGGCGGCAAACTCGAGGAGCGGGGGACATAGTATGGCACTCTGGTCATGTTCTCCATGCCTCCGGCAATCTGGGCCTCTGCCAGACCCAATTGGATGTTCTGCGCGGCAAAGACAACCGCCTTCAAGCCTGAAGCGCACACCTTGTTGATGGTAATGGCCTCAACGCTCGACGGGAGACCGGCAAAGATCAAAGCCTGGCGAGCCGGCGCCTGTCCGACTGATCCTTGCAGCACGTTTCCCATGTATACGTCGGAGATTTTGTCGACAGGGACCTTTGACTTTTCGAGGGCAGACTTAATGGCGACAGCGCCGAGCTTCGGCGCGGAGACGCTCGTGTATGATCCATTGAACTTGTCGATACATCAGCCGACGGTCTCAACTTGTACACTTACAGGGGTTTCTACCTTTGCCGTTGGCGTTCTCGAACCACTGAGAATGTATGCATCGCGAATCTCTTGCCTCAATGCCGCTCTCGTTGAGAACAGGCGAGTCGCAGAGGCCTGCTTTGCGAATAGGCTCGGAAGCCTGGAGGATTGTCTTGAATACATGGTGACACGGTGACAGGCAGACTAGAGAAGGATTGACAAGGACGGCGGGCTTTGAGACGATCCAACGGGCACAGAAATAGATGGGATGGCTGCAGCTATTTTACAGAGGGATGGAAGACGGCGAACATGTGGAAAGGCGCGGGCGGCAATAGCTTACCCGAACTGTTCCCTCCCGCCTCTGCCTGCCTTACCCCAGGTATGCTGCGGGCTTCCTCGGCTTAAGGAGGGGGAAGTGCACGGGCGGGGCCGAGCTTCTCATGACCTCACCCCCCTCAGTGTGAACCCCAGGGTCGGCAAGCCGAGTCCCCCACCCCGGACCGTGAAAATATGGAGGTTGCACTTGCAGTTCGCTGGCTGCCGTCACTTTTTTTCTGCAGTGGTTCCGCGGCTGCATCCCAAGTGCTCCAGCTTCCTTGCTTCCCCGGAACGGCGGAACATGGCGGCATGTGCCTGTCGATTCCGATATCGTCGCGATCATCGTGTACGAGTGTAAATCACCGGCCATGAACCCGACACCGCGGCTCTGTAAATATGCAGGCGTAGGGTTCAGTAATCAGACGTGCGCATTGCCAATATATCAGCCTGGATTATCTGTATTGTAATTATCGACGCCGTTTGTCAGCCATGCTTTGTCACCTCTCGCCTGTGTAGGGCCCATCATCAGAAGCCAAAGAGCAAATGAGGCGTCTCGAGACCGCAGAGTGTCACTGCTTCAGTGTCCCAATGGCTCGAGTCGTGTGCTGCGCCTGGACCCGGGGTCCACTCGGCGTTGGTTTGGTCTCGTCTGATTCGCGTTTAATCTCCCCGGCACTGATTGGCCACAATCCAGAGACCCACTGATTGCGCCTAAGCGGCAGGCGGTGGTGACTGCTTCCCGCGCCATCCTCTCGGACTTGTGAATTCAATGTTCCACACCCTTCCTTTACCACCTCACGGCCCTTTCAAGAATCGTCGGAATCGCTTCGTTCCAACAATCACCAGAGTATTTCGGAATAGGCCATCAGCTCTTGGGCCTTGTGTGCATTTCCGAACCATAGCTTCCGCGATAGCTGTTGTCTCCTACCCCTCAGTCCCGGCAATCAGTCACCGACCGCCACCGACCGCCACCATGTCTACTGCTGCCCGACGTCGTTTGATGCGTGACTTCAAGGTAATTTCTATCGCTGGATTTTTCTTCGATGAAATATCACCACTGACAGCATGGATGACAGCGCATGCAAACTGACCCTCCCGCGGGTGTCTCTGCCTCTCCCGTCCCCGATAACGTTATGACTTGGTACGCCAGACCATCTACGGGCCGACCGGCTTTCCCACATGTGACTTACAGAAGCTCTCCAGGAATGCCGTTATCATCGGACCTGCCGATACGCCCTTCGAGGACGGAACCTTCAGACTCGTCATGCAGTTCGAGGAGCAATACCCCAACAAGCCGCCCGCCGTCAAGTTCATCAGCCAGATGTTCCATCCCAACGTCTACGCCACCGGGGAGCTCTGCTTGGATATCTTGCAAAACAGATGGAGCCCTACATATGACGTCGCAGCGGTGTTGACGAGCATCCAGAGGTAAGGCGGTGTGTGCATCGGACTGGAGCTGCGTAGGCTAACCATCGCCAGTCTGCTTAATGACCCAAACACCGGATCGCCAGCGAACGTCGAGGCTTCCAACTTGTACAAGGACAACCGTAAGGAGTACACCAAGAGGGTGAGGGAGACGGTTGAGAAGAGCTGGGAGGACTAAATTGCAATGATACCACAACAAAACACATACGACTGTCATGAACAACATTCATAGCCTCGCAGGAGCAGGGTACGCCCATGAGGGATAGCAGGAGGGCTGCGTCCGGGACGCTGGAGGACAAACAGAAGCACAGCCGTCAAGGTTCTGACCTCACAGTGTTGTGGCACTAACACGGCGAGGGCCGGAGCTGACCAGACACATTCCTTGGTTTTGCTCGCATTAAGCAGCTGGGGCATCCGATGAGGTGGGAGTGGGGGGTTTGGCGTTTCGGCTCGTGCTGTCCTCTCTGAATGGCTTTTGGGGCGGCCCCATGTTGCGGTTGGCGTTTCGCGGTCGTGCTTCTCTTGGGTGACGTTCGTCCTCAGCTGGCTTTACAGGGGAGTTCGCAGGAAACGCATTTGGGTAGCGAAATACCAAATCTATTGTCCATGATGCGGCCCGACGTTTGTTTATTATGGCTGTGATTAACCACTACGAAAGCGGAGCAACCCACCCCAAACACACAAGGAGTCAACCGTGCAAAAGGCGCCAACTTTCATCTCGAACCTGTCGCGTGCCTGGCTTTGGTCCCTAGTGCGCAATGCGCCAGGCCGTCTGTTGTGTGCGATGAGCACCTAGGTAGGTGGTATTCAGGGAAACAATCCCGCGGACGACCGTGGGTGTGTTCACGGCCAGTGGGATGTCGCTGTGTGCGCTGTACTTTCAGCGGACGGACAGGGAAATAGGGGATTAGATCGCTCTGGGACGGACCCTTCGGCTGTGCTCGTTAGTGAGGTGGGGATGAAACCACCAGTGAGGATGAAATACTGCAGTGTGAGTGTGTTTTTCTTTGACCGCGCCGATGCCCAGCGACTGGCTGTGGTGGGGGGCTAATGAGAGGGGACACCAGGAGGGAGCTGGCTGAGTTGAGCCTGTGAATGTGTACCTTTTGTGTTGTTTTTGCCGGGCAGGTACCTTCTCCCAGGTTACCCCCTCCTCTTTCCTCGAAGGCTCCGTACCTCGCTCTGTGAGACCACACTGGACTGCAGCGAGCGACCCATCCCGTTCTCAGTACTGTGACTCTGACTGTCTTGCTGCAATCAAATATTCCACGCGAATTCTAGCGCGTCCCGTCATTTGCATCCCAACCCCAAAAACTCCCAAACAATCCCAATCTCCTTCCCTTCTCCCCTTCTGCCCCTCGACCGACTGCCTGGCTGGCTGCAAATTGCTGCTGGTTTGTGCTGCCGATACCCTTTTTCTTTTGCTTATCGCCTTGCAGAAAAAAAATACCTGCGATATGTCATTCTAGCAGATTATCCCATATTCTGCACACCGTCATTTCATCCCCGCCTTGTTTGTGTGGCCTTTCAACACACGCCCCCGTTGCCGTGCTGCGACCGC